TTCTAATTGCTCACGTTCAGTTTCTAATAGATCAATTTGTACTGCTTGATATTCTACTGTTGCAATTATATGATCAAAACGTTCAGTTGTTTCTTCACCAACATTAGTAAATAGATCAGGTTTTTCGGTTACTATTCGATGAATTTTATCTTTAAATGTTTGTAATACACGTTTGAGTTTACTGTTAACTTTCAATAATTTATCATCTGTTTGTTTTTCATTATCAAATGTTTGAATAGATGATGATTTATTTTTTTCTATTTCTTCTAAAAAATTTGTACGTTCATAAATGAGATTTTCTATTTGATTTTCATAATTGATTAATCGTTCTTCCATTTTTTCTCTATAATATTCGAATAATTAGTTAAAATAATTTATTATTAATGAAATATTTACTTTTCTCTTTGAAATTCTAATTCTAAATTAATGTTAGAATCAAATTTAGACGAAAGACTAATATATTTTTCGTTGAGATCTTTCAATTGTTCACTTTGTTGTTTAATAATTTCTTTCAATGATTGATTACTAAATTACCATAAAAACTATGTTTTTTGCTGAGAGAAACAAAAGATTAAAATTCACCTTTCGTCTTCATCATGTTGAGTACTCAATGGTTGCTTCAATTCAGTTGATTCTTGTTGTCTAAAGTAGTAATAACTTTTAGAATAAAGGATAATTGAAAAGTTTTTAAACAAAATGTTTATTCACTTTTGACCCTTCAAAAACAGACGTGTTCAGATTCCGTGAGTTCTGAACTCATCAAATTCGATCATTGCTGAGAATTCAACTATCAAGTTAGAAATGTTATGTCTGTTTTTGTTCAAGAGGAGTAAGAGACTTTTTGAAAAATTTGAAAAATGATGAACCAACAGGTTTTTTGTTTACCCTATAAGTCCCTTTTCGGACATGCAAAAATTTGTCAGAGTTCGTCTTTTTGCAGAGCAGGCTATTCTTTACAAAACGTGTTATACAACTAGGCTTCGGCTTTTATTCAATAAATTTTTCAAGAGCTTTTTTAAAAAAATGAGTGGCCATGAAAAACAAAAACGAAGGTGTCTAGTCGAAAGACAAAAAAACAGTACTTTGTAGAGTAGTTTCTGATCTACAAGCTTATATATAAATGCATTCAAAAATGATTTCACTACTGTCGAACAAAAAAACTTGAACAAAATTTCTAAACCGAGCGCAAAATTCTGGTCCTAATTCATAGGAAATATTTTCTCATGTATCAAAAGTAAACAAATATCTAGTCTAAAAAAAAACAGAAACAATTGATTGAACTCTTACTTATCAATTGATTGAAGTCTTTGTTGTTCGACAAGTGCATTACGTTCTTGTATAAGTGTTTGTAATTGTTCTTCTTGCATAGCTAATGTTGATGTATGATCAGTTTGCAATAGATTAATTTGTGTTGCTTGATGTTGAACTGTAGAAATTAAATGATCAAGGCGATCACTTGTATCTTCACTAATATTAATAAATAATTCAGGTCTTTCTGTAACAATTCGATGAATTTTATCTTTAAATGTTTGTAAAACACGTTTTAATTTAATATTTATTTGTGTTAATTTATCATGTTGTTGATCGTCTGTTTGACATTGATTATCAATTGTTGAAATAGTAGATGATGTTTTCGTTTTTAGTTCTTCAACAAGATTTTCATGTTGATGAATAAGATGTTGAATTTGATTTTCATATGTTTGTAATTTTTCTTCAGTATCTTTTCTATATTATAAAAATATTGAATTAAGAAAAATAGATATAAAAACAAAATATTCATTACTTTTGTCTATTAATTTCATCTTGTAATTCAAGTTGAGATGAAATTACAAGATATTTTTCAGTAAGATCTTTTAATTCTTCGGATTGTTGTTCAATTATTTTTTGTAATGATTGAACACTAAATTAATGTAGGATATTATTTTATATAAGAAATTGCAAACTCTTAAAATAACTTACTCTTCATTTGAAGGAATATCGGCATGTGAAGGAATTGGTGATCGTTGGAATTGAGCTAATTTTTCTTGTAATTTTTCAATTTCATGTTGACTAAACAAAATTTAAGAATAGAAAAAAGTTTTATACATATCTAAGAAATAAATATTTACTTTTCAATAAGTTCAAGTACATGTTGTTGAACAAGTGCATCTCGTTCTTGTATAAGTGATTGTAATTGTTCTTCATACATATTTGTTGTTGTTGCACGATCATCTAATGTTTTTCGAAATTCAAGTTCAACTTCATTAAGACGTTCACGAAGTAAAGTTCGTTCATCATCATTTTGTGAAAGTTTTTGTTGAAGTTGATGAATTTGTTTTTCATAATTTTCAATATTTGATCGACTAGAGTTAAACATTATTAATGATTTTATTGACAAAAACAAAAAGAACAATCTACTCTACCTGATATCATCAGTTGGTGGAGTTGTGCTAACAAGTTGTTGAGATTTTATTGAACTCTCATTTTGCATTTGGTTACGATATGCATCAAAAGAACTATTTAAAAGAAAAACTTAATTATTAAATCGATTATAATAATTGCAATTATTTACTTTTGAAGTTCTTGAATTTTATTTCGTAATTGTTTTTCTAATTGCTCACGTTCAGTTTCTAATAGATCAATTTGTACTGCTTGATATTCTACTGTTGCAATTATATGATCAAAACGTTCAGTTGTTTCTTCACCAATATTAGTAAATAGATCAGGTTTTTCG